TGTTTAGAATCAGGCATGCCATTATCAGGTGGCCGCGTATTCGGCGATACCGTCAATTAAACAATCCCAAACGTTCCTGTCTTTGCTCATTTGATAGATTGCTCATTTCGATGAGGTATTTAAATGCTCAACGTTGAGGCCAATCAAGTGCAGTAAGAGCGTCTTTTCACCATGGCTGCCAGGCCTCAATTGCGTATCCGACATGGGGGCGAACATATGCCCTGAGCATATGTCGGAAAATGAAGATATCGAATAGTTGGAGTACCCGTCTCAGTAGCCCGACGTGTTGCTTACCAGTTTCCGATGCCAATCTCGGATTACTGGGAACAAACCAAGTCATCCTGAACCATCACTCCCAGGTCGCTTTCGACAGAAGATCGTTGCAGTGCTTGCATTCCGAGCATGTAGCAGTAGGTACGCTGGTGTCGGATGGTGGTACCTTACATTTGCTCGTTGAAATTCTGCAGTTTTTCATTTGAACACTGCTGTACCCTGTCCAAGTCATGCTGCAGCATACCTTGATCGCCGTCCGACTGAATCCTGCGCCATATCCTGATGTCGTCAGTAAACAATAGAAAACCTGACCGATCGTCTGTGTCAGGTCGTTAATAAATATAAAAAAACAACCGTGGCCCTAGAACAGAGCCCTGAGGCACACAACATTCGACATGTATTGTGTCTGCTAACGAGTGTCTTACTCAAACCACCAGCCGCCGTTATAGCAGAAAGCTAGCGATCCAGGCTAAAAGGGGCCAAAGATGCCATAACACTGCAGCTTGGATAGGAGAATCCGATGATCCATGCGGTCGAATGCCCTCGAGAAATCCAAGTAGACCATAAGGATATTTTATCCAGCGTCAGCTGAATCCGTCCAGCTACTCCAGGCTATCAGTAAATTTGTTGTGCATGATCGCTGTCGACGAAAGCCTTGTTGTTTGGGAGCAATGATGTTGCAGTTTTCCGGATAGCACTCCCGGCTATCAGCGACGATGGACTCCATGACTTCGAACAGTACAGAATGAAGTGATACCGCTGAAAAAACTGAGCCAATGGTTTTGCTACTTGTCGCGACCCTGCTCCCGGTGCTTCTGGGCGAGTAGTATCGACAACAGAGGAGCTGTGGTTACACACGGACGTAAATTTTGCAGGACAGCTTCCGCAGCAAACGTGATGTGGTTGAGTCCGCTCGTTGGGATAACAAAAGACGAAATATCACCTGGTCGTAAGACCCTCTTAAATGTGGGTTCATGTTGCGTTTGTAGGTACTATGGTTCAGTGTGTGACACAGCTGCACTTACGGGAAGAACTACGATAAGGCGGGTGATACTGAATGCATGTGAGACCTAACCATTTCGTACGGAATACATCAAACGACTAGCCTCCTTGGATCACCGGGTCTCACGGAGTATTGCACGCATTTCATGGGAACACTGGGTGGGAAACACTGAAGTCCGGCAGTTGGTTTTTGGCGAGAAACCTTCCGTTGGCTCACTACAGTGTCTGTTGAAGTCGCATCGCTAAGGTTGGTTAGGTCATGTACTCCGTACACCAGTTAATCGCCTTCCTCAGCGAGCATTACAATTCGTCACTGCACCAAGTTGGGAGAAATCACGAGGTGTCAATCGATGACATGGCATAGTGGTATAAAGAAATGGACCTTAGTGACTTGATCAAGCAGGGACGTGCCGTCTTTGTAGATGGGGCCTCGTGCTAGTCCCAACCGATGGTTAGAGACACTATCGGACGTGGGGCATTTTCGGAGTCAGTTCTGCCCCTGCATTCAGTCTCCTGCATTTAGCTGTTCATACTTCAACGCCATTAGCTTCATGCACCTCGTTCTTGCTTCAATTCTACTAATACTATTTGTATGTCTAACCACATTTACTTTCCATTGTTCCTTATTACCTTTCTGGCGACACGAGTTTTGGCAATTGCATCCACGGCACTTTAATGCCCGGGTCATGGTTTATCAACTGCACTGAACAGAAGTGAAACAACTGGGTAAACTTTAAGTATCATAACTTATTTAGGAAATCATAATTTCATATAGAACTTTGTCCATTTGACTGTAAAGCAAAATACTAATAGCGAGAAAGTACTCCTCTACCAAGTCGTTATTGTTCCTAATGTGAAAGGTCTAGTGGAATGTGGCACCTTTTTTCTACAGTAGATCTTTGGAAGCTAGTTTTCAGACTACCGGCCTGCCCGCCATAACTGTGTTTTAAAATTACTTTTGATACAACTCCGAGCGCATCGAAAAAGTATTGCTCACGTGTAGCTGTCTGTCTACTTTAATCAGAACCTATCTGCGATATAATAGCGGCAGTTCTACATCACGTGTACTTTTGTTCGGCAACGCGGTGTCCTCTTTTTACTAAATTACATCCTGTAGGTAATGGTAACTTCAGTGCTACGGCTAAACATGGGTCAGCACAGAGCCCACAGGCATCCAGTTTTCCGCGAAACATTCTGTCCGCAAACACAGACCAGAACGCTTCGACCTTTCAATTATCTGTAATCTGCACCTTATCACACGAAGCGCCATGAAAGTTGGGGTACGCAGACGCCGCGCTTGTGTGCGTACTGCATCGTGTGAGATCCGATTGGATCTCCGGACTGCCGTTGGAATTCCTCGGGGTTTCCTCAGGGCGCGTAATGGGTGGCAATTTACGGTGCGTCAATGGAAATCGGTAGACACATCGCGGATGAACCACAGAATTACAGCATAGCTCAACCAAAGAGTTTCGTAGTAAAGATTACACACTGAATATACCAAAGTTTTGAACGATCATTCGCTCTAATTTCTTGTTACTCAGATGTAACTTGCTGTGAAATAAACTAAGATACACGCTCAGGTCGTGTGGTAATGTGGCAACCTGTAGAATCATACTCTCCAGTTACGTTGATCTACCATATATCATCTTATTTTATGCAGTCAATAGAGTCTTCGTGATGTGGTTTGTGCAGGTCCATCCGGCTTGCTTTTTGTGACTCTTCAACTGCCTTCAGGAGTCTTGACCCATCTGTGCCCCGATGGTTGTGCTGTTCCTCAGTAATTTTCCCTGGACTACTGCAGAAGAACAATGTCTTGACTGTGCGGTCGATTACACATATTTCAAAATGTGGTGGCTTGCCTGGAGATTCCATAGTTGATTTTATTATTCATAAGCATGTTGACACTTGCAAAAATTTTTCTTCCATGGTCCTAAGTGACCGCTCTTATCCGCTACATGGTGCTGTCTCACAAATGCTTACCTGTCTCTAAAACGCGCTCAAAATTTCTAGTTTATTCTTTCACACTTCGTATCCCAACACAACCTTATGTTACTGATCACGTTTTCTTGTCCACCTGAAGAAAGTCATAAATGAATATACAAGCGGCTCCTTGAATGATATCTACAAACCACTATCCATTTGATTATTTGTATTTATATATTTCTAACTGGTGCTTTGATTCACGGATTCTGTAGTGATATAGTGTAAACGCACAAGGCATCCGTTGGGGTACATAAAAGCCATTGTGACTTGACTTAAATTGCGAAAGAGCTGGTCATATTTTCATTTTGGTTAACATGGCGCTTCAAATTACAAGGCTAATGTGACCACCTCTGCTAAGGCCAAAATATGGATTGGAGGTTCACTCTCCTCAACGACGATAATTTAAAGTTATGTCCAAACAAAAAACAAGGGGTGCCAAAATATTTTTCTTTGGACTTCAGGTGTACTCCATTTTCTTGCTTTGCTTTCCAGGTGTAGGGAAGACTTTGCGTACACTCTACTCTCCAGAAAGTCGGCTTCTGGTTGGTAGTGCTTAATAATTTTCAATTAATAAGTACGTACCTATTTGGCGAATAATTAAATCAATTTGCCTCTCACATGCGTCCCATATTGCGGGACTGTGGACCACCCCTCGGTCTGCAGCGATTGATGCGTCTCGTGATGCTGACCAAGATGTGACATTCTAGCTGGTCAGCAATCAGCGGCGTACACTTCGAGTAGTTCTTACATAACAACATTTGTTTACTGGTACTATCTTTGAGGAGAACGTACTTTAGAGTAATCCGAGCAATCTTAACTTGACCCCAATTCAAGTGATGTGGAACCGAAGACATTTCGAGGACGAGAGAACAATTAAACTCTGTCGGTACATAATTCCACCGAAAAACCCACCAACGAAACCGAGACGCTGTATGAACGCGTGGCAAAACAGAAAAAGAGTTACAGTGTTCTGTTTGCAAAATCCAAATGTTTCGGATCCGGCAGGAATAAGGCATTTTATTCTGTCCTTTGCCCACTCAAAGGATCAACTTATTGAAATCTGCAGGCGCAATAACAGCTGGGTTTCGCAGAACACGACCGAAAGTTACTACGACGAATTGTTTAACTCATGTAAGATATGAATCGTCCTATCTCGCTTAATAGTTACACTAGAAAGAACGTGGAATAAGTGCGGAAATATGACAGAATTTAATAGTAAGTCTGATAGTACCCCTAGAGGAGTGATCTGTTAGATTACAGTTGCGCATCACATTTTAGCCGATATATATGGTCACTTTATAACATATATTTTAACGCAGGGAGCAACAACGGTAAAACTTCGAAGTTGACCACCTTTGTCTCATGACCACTTCTAAAGTGCCCGTTTTATTTTTTCTTACTTGAACATTCCCCATGTAAACCTTATATATCGAGAACTCTGTATGTTGACCATATCTGCATTTTGGTCACTTTGGCCCAGTCCCTCGAGTGATCAACTTACGTTGCTGGATATTCCTGGGCCGTAATTCCTAGTTCTCGTGGTAACATTAGTTTAGAATCATGAGTATCCAATACACGTCGCATGTGGAGATGCGTTGCAAATGAAATGTTTCAGAAAGCCACTTCTATGAGCGACTGTCGTCTGTGCCCAAGCATGTGTGTGTGTGGGCGTGTTCGCCTACGTGTCCCAACTCGTGTGACCGTCCCGTCGAATCCGGTACACTGCCCACCATGTTTCCCGTATGTGTCTGCGTCGCGGCTCATTTAACCCCATTGCTTCAACCATCGAACACTCGTCACGACGTCCGCCCCATCTGATTAAGACGCGGAGACAACAATCCGGTGACCATAGATACTTGTGTGACGTTACATTGTGGATTGGCACAGTAGAGAAAAACTATCCCGCTTTGATCACAAGAGGAAATGATGTTCGGCATAAAGAACCGGACTCCAGAAGCACAAATGTTACTGTATCCGAACTTCGTCTAAAAGCTAGTTGCGGAATTCCACAATGCCAGTAAGTGCTACTCTTATATCATATGGTAAACTCTATCAAAGCTGGTGACCAGTTTGAACAAATTATTACGTAAGCCTAATTTCAATACGAAGGATCTCGTAGCTATTAAGTTGAACAGCAACTAACCAAAAGTTTAGTACATGTGGTTTGCGAGTCACAATGTATGTAGAACCACATCGTAGCAACCCGCAATCCCAAACATGTTTCACAAATGTCGACGCTTGTGTATATTTGCCGGTTTTAACACCTGCTTAACTCAAGGCACTAATGGGGATTCTGCTTTTAGAATTTTGGTGCAAATAACACAAATTCATGCTCAAGTGGGAGTTGAACATGTTTTCAACAATGCCGCTCTTATGAGTTTACAATCGAAATTAATCTGCAACTAATCACGCTAATCCGCGATAATCGAGTATTCGTCTCAAAAGAGAAGTATATTTCCTTGTAATAAAAGGTTACCGCTGCACTGCTGTGCATGTTTGTGTTTGTAAATATGTTGCTAGTATGATACACGCGACACAGATTTTTGTGGAAATAAGATGGGAAACAATGAGTGATGCTCCGTTGTTGTATACCACATCTGATGTTGACTCACCGGTAATTTAGAGAGGTGTAGATGTGTCTATGGGGCCAATGCAAACGGCGTTCGTTCAACTGAATAGTCAACGAGAAATCTACCCTTAATTATTTCCGTCAAATGTAACGTGGTTCATAGACATCAGCAATGAGTGAGTGTATGCCAAATTGGAGATCACACCTAGCAGTAAGCCACCCAGCAGTGTAACTTCGGCATACTGGTTCAAGACGGCTCCACCTGCTCAAAACAACCTGAGCAAGTGTAGAAAATCGGCCATAGCGTGGTGGTCCACTACTTACAGCGCTTGATAGTTTTGAACCCACTATCGGCTCACAAATGCTTGGCTCATACACGTGACCAGGTGGGGAATGCTTCATCTATGCGTAGCGTCCCTGATGCCCTAAATTCACAACAAAACCCTAAGAGTGTTAAGGATTTTTCCCAGTTTCTCTAGAAACTAGAATAGAATCCATCGTAATCTAAATCGGTCGGTTTTGGTGCCTTCAGGGAAACTACAAACAAACAGCAAATCCTAAAGCACCACGACCAGCCGACGGGACCATCCTTAGAAATTGGCCACAGTATAGCAGGCTAGAATACCGTCGAAATATTTTTTCCTTCTACTGGGCCTGAAATGTGATTCACCACTGCGTACGTTGTTCATGCCGTAATTGAACGAGGTCTAGAAAGCGACTTTACAACCGACTGCGCAACTCACATTGCTCCATATGACATGTGTTCACTAATAGGTTACATATAGCAAACTGTGTATTTCAAAATTTAACAGGTAACCTTATAATTGTTATCATGCGAGATTATAGGTGAGTTCATCGGTCCACACACAAGTTTATTGCCGCACATTTTGCCTATTTTGTTAGTCATTCGATTGACCAACAAACCTCTTTAACGCCACATTTTTATCTTTTGCATACCATTGCTTAATTGTTTTGTTGTTCCATTGCACGGTAAAGTGTTGTTATGGCAGCAGTCATTTGATCCCCCTACACGATTCACTGGTTGTGTTCGACGTTCCTACACGTCCGCTGATATAACAGGTAGTTCCAGATGCATGAAATCTGTTCTCCACGTCCACCATAGCAGCCGTGCAAGGTAAAATTTCATGCCTAGGGCACAATTCGATCCACCTTGTTCACGGTTCTCAGTCCACAGAGGCTTAAGGCTTGTCGGTACAATAACAACGTCAAACCTGTAGTGGCCCCCAATTACCCAATAACCCCATTGCTTTCTGGTCTCCACCAAAAGTAGTTTTCATCCATCGTCTCTGTACGGAGCAGAGGATAACGGTGATACCACCATTTCCACGTCAACAGATTCAAACACCCCTTGCGTAATGTTACTTTCACCATGATCCCTATACGTCTTGTTGAAAGTGCAAACTGGCAGGGTGATCACGAATAGGTAGTTCAGCAGTTTTGTTTCATATGCTTGATTTGCGCTAGAAAGTGATCTACAAAAGAGCCGCCGGCTTATAATTAAATTCATCCCAGAATTTTTGATTGGTACCTAACCACACCTAAAATAGTTTAGTTCGATCTATATAACGACGCCAAAAGATGTGCACGAACTATAGTTAAAGTCAGCATATCCCGTTCCAAACTTATCAGATTCCGCATGCTTACATCAGCGGAGGAGATCGCGATTCGTCTCGACAGCTCGTCAAGGCTTTGACTTTGCCATGACTAGCTATCATTCGAGCAGCTTTCTTGTGAACAAATCACATCCATTTTTGCATTTTGACACGCTCATTATCTAGTTACTTAACCCACCCTTTATTAACAATGTAGATGTGCTGTACTTTGACTGAAGATAAATCACCGAAACTGAGCTGGTCTGCTGGACAATCCTTTCATTCAGGTTAAAAGGGTCCAGAAATACTCATTATTATCTATGAAGTAGGCGTACCCACAGAAACTAACGTCTCATTGACAAATCTAGTGTGTTGTCACGCTGTAATAGTATCGGAATTTGTTTGCGTGACTGCAATTTTGGATACCTGTCATTTGTTAACAGTATTCAGAAACCGGAAATTGTCAGCCTTCAATCAGTGTATGCAGAGATTAATTGGCATACGCTGACTGCTAACTTGCACGCCACAGTGGCAGCAGAGTCTCGCTATTTCCACCCCTGTATGCGGAGGGAACTCACTAGAGCTGGTAAGGTACGTGGATGCAATTGAGTTGGTCTTATCACTCCGAGTCCACTGATGAATAATGAATTTATACGGGTTACAGAGCACTACTTTGCGAGTCCTGTTGGGTAGTTTTGTGGGGATACCAAAAAATAACAACAAAACATTTCCTACGTTAAGTCTGAAAAGAAGAACTTATCGTTTGTTCCGCTGTAATCCAGCAATCCGTGTAGTTTCGGAGCACCCACAGGTAACAGCGAATAAATCCAAGGTATATTGCAGAACTAGACTGGAGTAACCCAACACAGTAGCCTCCGATTAGGCGATCCCTATGCAACATCGATGAGGGATCGATAACTAGCCTGTCCTAACTAATAGTGAAGTCCGGTAACATAAATATGGGCCTCACTGGTGCAACATTGATGGGTTAATCAAGTGCTTAACTTAATAACCATAGATACCCGTTAATTTCGCTTTCAGCATTGGTTTCTAGCCATCCTCACCAACAAAACACCATTTTTATTTGTGTTATGAATTCCCTTGCATTTGCAAAGACACTGAACTATCTCCCTTCTATATACCTAGTGCGCTGCTTTGTAGTGAATTAGAACAAACTATGCTTATGATCCTACGGACGCTTCGTTTTGCAATAAGGCATTAGTCATCCTAACTGTTGCTGATTTTGCATCTTGCAAACAATTGCAGGCCAAGTTCACACACTCCTGATGACCCAACGTATCCAAGCAACAATTAACGCTTGTGCATGAACCAGAACGACCGATAAGTTTGTTTCAGCTCTATTAGGCGTTTTGAGCGTTCTGTCCATGTCTACCTTTATCCCATACATAACAACAATTCTTTCGTACTACTGAGGTTTCGGATGCATGAAGGGCTCTCACCAATATAAAGAATTGCTCCGCAAGTGATGACGTGTCACTGATTGTTTGGTTCATTAACAATTACGGGGAAGGCAGTGAATAATTGCTTTTCTACTCCCACACTGTTGAATTCATTGCATAGAGCACAAGTACTAAGGATCCCATATCTAGGAAAAGGGACAATGCAAGCCTTCCTGAAGTATGAGTTAAAAGCTCAATCCTATAATTGCTCTCTCAGTCTATGCTACCTATTCTTTTACACCAGCATCGTTTTTATGAAAAGTTCGTGAGACAAAAGAGAACAACTCTCTTCTTTGTGCAGTGAACCGCTTCTCTGTGTACTACCAACTGTACTGCCTAGGTTTTGTCCTGTCTTAATTAATGTTAAAACGTCCAGTTCTAACCCAGTATTTTAGATATACCTGGTAGGCATTTGATTCGTGCAGAAAGATATATATATGTATATATATATATATATATACCAGGTTTTATATTTCCCAGAGTGTCCCATGCTGAGGCTGATGTTGCATTCTTGACGCTTCTTCACCGCAGTTGAGCCAACGCAACTTAAACTAGGTCTTTTTAAGCTGGACAAAGTGCATTCTACATTATTTGGTTTGTTCTGCCGACATAAATTATCTGCTATTAACTGGCCACTTTGCTTACGCTAATTGCGCTCATCTTCGATAACTGTTGTGTTTGTAGCACTTTTAAGTAACTTGTGGACATTTCTTACTTATTGCGGATTCGTTGCTAATCAACTTACTTCATATGCTAACTTAACGAAGAGTTATGTCACCGTATCTGTGTGCATTATTGGATTTGTTTTATTTCATCTTGTCGTTTCAAGTGATTGGCTGTTGTCTGATATCCTCGGTGTGGCTGCGCTTGATGTGCTTGTCGGCAAGGCGCCTACCTGTCTATTACCCACTACCTCGTCCATACTGGCTCTAGGAGACAGTTGGTCGTTGCTGGAGGGGACAGGGTGCACGGTCCTTGTGGCCATGTTAGGCTCGAAGAGTGGTTCCATGCACTCAGTGTGGAGCCGACTACGGTCCAGCTACCGCCTTGTGTGCGCTTGATTCCCAAATACAGCGTGCTTGTGTTTGCCTGTGAAGGAGTGTGGGCCAGCTCCATTGATGAAACTTGGCTCCCATCCACATGCCTCCCGGCCTTATTCCTTCGGGTTTACACTGGATATGGGGTGTGTGGTTGGAGTTGTGGGTGGTGCAGCGCAAGCCAACCACGGTCCTTCTGTAGGCGCAGGGGTCCTGTGGTTGGCCACAGTGACAGACAAATCCGAAACCGGACGCCGCCAAGGAATTTTCCCAGACTTGCTTGTGCCAGTGGTGGAAGTAATTTCCTCAACTAACACCCATTAGGACGTGACATGATT